TGTAGCCCACCTTCACCTACCGCCTCTTTTTCTTTTCTTCTCTGCAGGGTCTTGCTGCTGCTGCAGGGGTCCCAGAGCAGAGTCATGTAGCCAAAAGTAAATTAGTGCAGATGTTTTGCCATAGTGGTCTTGCCTGGGGTAGACAATTTGGCTGTGAAGTGGCTGTGCAACACAAATATCCACAGGAAAGTTTGCCAAAGACCGAGAGTTTGTCAAACTTTTATTCTTTGTTCTTATTCTTCTTTAACCCCTGAAGCAGTCGTGCCTAAAACCACCAAAAGTTGGAACCATTGAAACTGCCTGTGTTGCCTGAACAGGCTTCCACTTCCAGGGGGCTAGCACAAAGAATCAGAGCTTTAACGCTTATATCCAAGCCTATGACTAATTTAGAAACACTAAGAAAATTGTACGTCTTTGGACTGAGGGAACAAACTGGACCACCTGGAGAAAAGCCCATGGAGGCACAGGAAGAACACAAAAGCTCCACATAAAAGGCCCACCTGGCCACAAAGTTTAAACCAAGGAACCATCTTGCTTTGAGGGGACAGTGCTCCCCACCAGGCCTGGATACACCAATCACAAATAAACAAAAGCAATACCAGCTGCAGTTGTTCTCAGTTCTGCCATTAAGAAATGTTTGTATAAAAGTCATTTGAGTCCACACAGAAATTTTAGGTGTATTCCTGTTTAGAGATGTAAATGCTGTGCTATATTTTTTTATTTTTATAATAATCATTTAAGTATTGAGTTCGTGAACCCTTTGTTCTTGATATTCCCCCAGTCAGAGTACAAACATGTGGGTAAAAGTATAAACCTTAGAGACAATTTACTGCCTTTCAGATATACTTAATATACCGACCCATCATGTTGACAACCATATTGGGACTATGAAATAGGGCTGCTTACAGTCTCGCTTTTTTCTGTCAGACTTCAGCATTTTGGCTCGTCAACTCCAACCTTTCTCCAAGAGGTGCATTAAATGCTCCCTTGCAGTTGGTATTCATGCTATGTTGGATTAACTGCAGATGTGACTTTCAGACTCGGGAAAATGGTCTGCATCTAAACAGCAGAAATATGTTGTTTTCATGTCTGTGTAGCTCTGCTGCTTTCCACATTGTTGTAGTGAACAACACAGCAGATGCCTTCCAAGGTAATTCAAATTAAAAAGCTGTTTTCACACATGCTCTGCAGCCCCGAACCTTAGTAGACATGACCAGACAGAGGTGCATGATGGAAAACAAATGTTTGAGGCAATCAAATAGGACCGTAGCCTGATTTAACCTTCCAGATCTCTCGTATTAGGTCCCAGTGATTTGTGAGAGCAGAGCAGCTATTGTTTGGTACAGCACTAATGATTCAGAAAAGAAGAAATTCAACTGTTGACAAATGTCTTCACTCAGTCTTTCAAAATAATAAAGCGTGAGAACAGAATATATAACAAATAAGGTGACCAGGTTTTTCCTGTCTGCTAGCTGTCAGTAAAAACTGGCGGCCAAGTGATTTCAAAATTTATGCGATGGGAATCAAACCAGTGCACTCCCCAACAAGTTCCAGGTCACGTCTACTGTCCTGCCAAGGAAATGTTTGTTTTCATGTGAAACTAGAGAATCAAACAAACCACACAAACAGCTTTTTTCCTCCAGTTTTTGCTTGTTTAAAGCAGCTGGCCTCAAATTTCATTCTGAGTGGAATAAAATATAAAATCTTAATTCTAATTTAAGGTGCAGAAAACCTGGAGAAGTTGCTATAGTTAACATCATCATCATCTGCTAATGGCGTGAATGTAAACCCCCTCCAAATATTTACCATTACCACAAAAATGATCAGCTCGATGCTGCTGAACACGACACTACACCTGGTAATGTAACTTTAAGCAACGAATACTTTTAATCTGGTTATGAATTCAATCTCAAGTATCCCCATTAAAGGTATTTTGTTGTATTCACTGATGGATGCAGCAAGATTTAGTTGAGTTTAACGTGACATAAAAAGACATGAATGCAACATTCACTGTATTACTTATGTAAATAAATACAAAGCACAATCATTTCTCGTACGTTGTGTTTAAGAACGCGTGTTTGAACTTTTGTAAAGGTGGTTGTTTAAGTTTTGTCAAGTCATGTTATGCTCCGGACCAGCTTTGGTGTAAAAATGTGGTTTCACATTTGTGTTTTGGGTTAATTATTTATGAAGTGGATCTACTACAAAACAGTCCATGCTATTTTTCCCTTTCACTCCCGATCAGACTGGGAAGCTGATGTGAATTAAGCCAGTACCTTAAATTCAGCCCTCTTTGTCCACTTCAGTTTATTTGCCAGACATCAACGGACACTCATCAGGTTATTAAGAATTTAATTCTTTGCCAGATAATTAAATGTGAATGTAAATAATCCAATTTTTGTGGGTGTAAATATGTGAAATAAAGATTCAATAAAAAAGCTCTTTGGATTTTTGTCCATTGTCTTATGTGAGAGACAGTTGCACTGGAGACGAGGGTGAAGTCCAAGCTCTAATCAAAAGCTGAGGTTGGCAAACTCTGTGAGTCCAGAAAGTCAGCTCTTAAGGATATAATAAGAAATTCTAGGAAACATCTGCTGAATGGACCAGTATTTATATTGTGCCTTTCTTCTCTGAGCAGTCAAAGTGTAAATCATAAATTAATACCACCACGTTTTTGGAAAACTACAAAAGCACACTCAGTAACGTGATGCCAGGCTGCAGCAGCACAGCATGTTCTCTGGTAGCACGAGCAAGCAAGCGGGTCGCAGAAATCATGGAAGAAGAAGCCTGGGATTAGGAGATTTTTCTTTCTCTAAAGGCCTGCAAACCAAATAAGCTGAGTCACTTTAATCCTCCTCAAAGTTTGAAGGGTTGCTGTTTGTTTGTGGTTATAAATTAGGGGCATGAAATGCTGAAGAGAACGGAAAATTATGCAGTTTAACAAAGAAATGTGAATGCATTAAAGCAGACATCGTAAAAAGAAAAAGAAGACAAAAAAAAGAAAATACCGTTAGCATTTAACAATTATACAAGAAAAGAAAAATATATGTAATAATACACTATGTGTAATTAAGGAATTAATTTTTAGGGAAAAAACAAATAAGCCGCTGAATAAATAAGAAAAAGGTGTGATTGTGTGTTATTTGTGATCTACGGGGGGTTAAAATCCTTAAAATCACAGATCTATGTGATTTATATGATTTAAATTTGCAAAACTTTTTTAAACGTGGGCACAAATCATACCTCATGTGAAATACCTGGGGTTATAAATTACATTTTAAATTTAAATAGATGACAAGTGCCAGGTTTTTTTCTCCAAATAAGAAACACGAAAGCAGCATCGAAGAGCCCGATATCAGACAGTCATCAAATCATGCCTCGGGTCTAAAAGCAGGCAAACATAAGAGAATAGAACAATGAATCAGGGCTTCTGAATAGAATAGGATAGAATAGAATAGAATAGAATAGAATAGCCTTTATTGTGATTGTACATGTACAACAAAATTATGGGTGCTTAACACCAACTGTGCAGGAGTAAATTATCAATAGTAAGATAGCAGGAATAAATATCAAACAGAGGAAATATGTACAATCAAGAGAAATATATACAAAACAAGAGAAGGGGGGGGGGGGGGGGGGGGGGGGTCAGACTGATGGTGCAGTTTGATGGTGAGGATGTCTGCAATGGTGGTGTTGAACATTAAGCCATAGCTCACGAAGACCATCCTCACGTAGCTCTTTCTGTTCTCCAGATGGATCTGCAGGGCGATGTGATGACATCCTCTGTGGACCGATCTGTAAGCAAACTGGTGGGGGTCGAGGGAGGCGGTAGACAGGCTCTGATGTGCTGAGACACTTTGTGCTAGAAAGGCTTCATGACTACAGACACGAGGGCTATGGTGCTATAGAAAATGAGGCTGTCTATGCCAATTTTTTGGGGGGTGGGAATAGTGGTGGAAGCCTTCCGAAAGGTGGGAATGGTGGCATAAGTCAGAGAGAGGTTGAACAGCCTGGTGAGCATCCCTGCAGGTTGGTCTGGGCAAGCTTTTACCACAGCCTCGGGGATGCCATCAGCGCAGGCTCGTGGGGTTTACCGCCCTCAGTCTGCTCCTGACTGAGGGGGGGTGGCTTAAACTGAGCAAAGACGGTGTTGAGCTCCCCTTCGAGTTTGAGGCTGCTGTCTGGGGTTGGGGGTTCGGTGAGAGCTTGGATGTAAAGCACTTCATTTATATTCAGCTGTTCAATATCAATCAATGAATAGAGACCAAATCATTAAGGAATCTCAGAATTAAAGGAACAAGACACACGAATTTACAAATAAAATGTAAATCTATAAAGTTAGTGCATCTTTTAAAATACATTCATTTAATATGAAAATATAAGATTTTGATGTTTGTCAGTAGTTTCACCAATTACATTAATACAGATTTTAATTTGAAATTGATGTAATTTTGCTTTTCGATTGCTGTGATGACGTACGTGTCTGTTTGTCTTATTTTTGTAAATGTTTTATTATTAGAAAGAAAGAAATTGTTACTGATTATCATTATTATAATTTTTCCTTTTTACAAGACATATTATTCAGAAGAGGCATGGCACAAAAGCATCTGAAAAAGAATTAAATAAAGGTATGATAAATAACTATTCTGTTACAAATAGAATTAAAAACATGGAGACAGATTTTTTAAGTAATGCAGAAGAAGATGGAAACAAACCAAGTATATCAGACATCATGTTTAATAATTAAGCTAAAAAATGATTGGTAAGATTTTGGCAAATGGGATGGATTCTTCTGACAATATTTATAACTATTTTAACATTTTGCACAAACTTATTTGCCTTAGAGAATAAATAATTAGAAATTAATCCAGAAACTACTTATAATTGTAATAATATAGAAGGAACTGGGACAAAATCTATTGATTACCTATATTTTTATTCATGTCAATTTTAAAAGAAGTTAAATCTAATGAAAAGTTTCCATTTTGTAGAGTTTTTAGGTTTGTAATAGAAGTATTTAACAAGCTTTGGTAAATAGCAGAACATATTATATTGGAGACTTGTTCTCACTCGACTGACAGTTGTAAACATGATCCACAAAAATGCGAATATTGAGATATGAAAGATTACTGAGAAAGGATGTAAACATCTGGATAAAGAACAGAAATTGCAATTAATAATTTCTACACACACACATATGTAGTGTGTGATTGTTTAACTTCTAGGCAATAAAAGTTCTTTAAAATCACATTTTGGGGATATGTTGACAACCTTTTTAAATTCTCTTTTAAATAATTTTTACTAGTGATTCTATAAAGGCATTTGTTTAGTAAATTTGAGGAATGATAATACGGTTCATTTTGAAAATGCTTTAAACTCGTGTAATAAGAAGAATGCTACCAAGTAGCAACACTTGCTTCTAAACTAGACTTTGTGGATGGCAGTTAAATTGTTTTTAAATTTTTAATTACATTAAAGTCTTCCATTAAAGATTTCCTGATATCCAGTCAATTCTTTATGAGCTGTGTAGAATATAAACCTTGACATGAATAAAATCTGGGATTTTATTTATTTTTCACGACATTTTTTATCAGGAAGTTTTACAAGAAAATTTCTAAGGTTGTTTATTTAAGTTTATTTTAACCCTGTAATGTGACAACACAAAGTCACTTTATTGCACTATTTGTTATTTATGTATAACGTCAAGATATTTACATTGATTTCAGATTTGTTTTGACAATATTAGACAAAATAAACGTAGTTGTTCTCTCATATTCTTTTACGTACTACATTCTACTCATTAAGCTATTTGTTCTACATTTGTTGTGTTCAAGCTGATTTTTGACTGTTGTAACAAAAGAATATCCAAACCTTTGGACAAGTTGATCTTATCTTACTTAGAATTGATACTTCTCTGCAAATCACGTAGCAGAATAAACCACTGGTAACCTAAACATTACTGATATAAAATTACGTGAAGAGAGCATTGCCACGTTTTAGAGAACTGGATTGTTCCCACAGTCACAATTAAAGCCAAGTTTCATTGAATCAAAATCATTCCTGTGGGTCTAAATTTATAAAATGTGCTTGCTGTTTTAACCTTTACATCAAAAAGGTTTATTACTACAAAGGCATTTACAGTTACATCTGTAGTCCAGTCAAAGTGGCTCAAAACTGCTTTCTAGCCAAGGCATGTTGCTGGTGCCAAATAATTACTGCAGCATTAGGTCCAACACTGCCCTCTACTGCCTAACTTCGGCAGTGCCGACAGATCAATAAATACTTTCAACATGCTTAATCTCAGTGATAAAGGGTAGAAACAAATAACCACACAACACTTTGTAAGTTTCTGATTTTCTTTCTTTTTTGTGGAAATATGTTACAGTTATATTACAGGTATTTAAATGCCCAGAGGGAGAACAAAAACCTTTTTGGAGACACCAGAAACTAACGCTAAGAAGAGGACGACGACAAGAACTTAACCGGAAACAAACTGGTGCCCAACACGTAACCTCTACGTTAGGAGACGTCCAATAAATACTGCAAATGTTGTTAACGCATTTTTATTTAAAAGAAAACAAAACAAGACAAGGAAAACAGGTGTGCTCTCCTCCTTTTGAGTCCTTTGTAGTATTTAGCAGCAAGTGTGTAGCTTCCAGAAACCAAAAAAAACTTGTGGAAAAGCAGTGCACAGGGCCTGCAATCAACCAGAGTTTTTATACACAAGTAAGAACAACAACAAAACATTTAAAAAAAAAAAAAGTGGGATAAGTGCTGAAGTTTTACCATCTTCCTGCCTCAAAACTCACCAAATCATCCAACCTTCCCCAAGCTTCAGGATCTTTAAACATTCAAAAGACGTAATCAAAACTCGGCTGGTGGTTTTAATCATTTTTATTCCTTACGTATAAGAGCTTTTATTTCTGGTGGTTTACAAAATCTACTTTTACCAGTGCGAAAACATTCTGGTTGAATGCAGACATCTCCCCGCTTTACATCGGCTTCCATTGGATTTAAAGTAACTTATAAAATATATCATAAAACGTCTTCTTAAATGGAAACCGATAAGTCCATGTACAAAAGGTTCTCTCTTATATATAAATTACACCAGTCTCTGATGAAGGTGGTGGTGACGATGTCTCCATTCCTGCTAGTAAGGTTCATCTTCAAATAAAACCCTCCCATACACACTCACATGCTCAACGCACACACACACAGACATGGACACACAGACACATACACACACGCTGAGAGCCGTGTGACCGTGGTCAGCACGCCCGACTTAGCTACACAACATGCTCTACATATTACCCATAGTAGAGAAGAAAACAACAACAAAATAAACCCCTCTATACCCACTGAAATGAAATCTCTGCACATACAGTAACGCTACATCTCCTCTTTCTTCTTCTCTTCTCTGTATGCAAGACCACAAGCATGGTGCAGTTTCGGGCGTTTGGATGGAGGGCGCCTCCTCAGCTTCAGCTGGTGACCCTCGCTGCCGCCTGTCACTGTAGCTGCCTTTGTTCTGGCTCCGCCGCTGTACGAACCGATGGGTGACGCCACCCAGCAGGGTGAGGGAGGGGCGGCGGTGGTGGTGGTAGGGGTGGGGGAATGTGTGTGACTACTGACCGCGGAAGGGGAGGGGGGGCCGGACCTCAACAGTCAAACCGCATCTCCAGCGAATCGTCATAGCCCCGGTTGTCGTGCCCCGCCCCAGATAGGAAGGCGGCTGTGACAGGCGCCCCCGTGGCTGTGGTGACGTTGAGGAGGGTGTTGCCCGGGGAGCTGGTGGCCGGGCTGCGCAGGGCCGCTGCGGCGATACTGGTGAGGTTGATGCCCAGCGTGAGCCGGGTCTGCTCCAGAGCTTTCTCTGGCACGGCGAAGGCCTCCAGCTTCTTCTCGCCATTGGCCATGTACGAGTTCTGGCAGCCGCGGCAGATGCAGTCCAGGCAAGCCTGAGAACAACGAATGGGATCAATAACACTTAACAAAGAACAACAACATAATAGATGATGTTTGGGTTATAGCTTTATTGGTCTTCTGGTTCACTTCGACATTATGTTTTTGTTTCTTAACGAACTTTGGAAACCACCTTTAAAGTTTCAAATATGAATAAAGGTATTATTAAAAAGTAAATATTAAGTTTAATTTGCCTTCTAACAGTTTTCAAGACATCTCATCACTTCTACACACTTCAAAATGATTGCCTGTTGTGTAATCTGCATATAAAAGATGGATGTAGCCACTGTGATGTCATCCATGGATGGGTGAAGTCCAGTAATGAAGCCTCAAGTTAAGCATTTATGGCATAATGATCAGCTGGTGACATTCGAGTACATGCCTATTGACCGACAGCATGTCAGCAAACCTGAGATAAGCCTACTTTCTGATTGTAACAATGATCATAATTTACAATACGGACTTAATGTTTTATTCAATATGACCATAAACTAGTGACCGAGCCCATAAAGTCATCAAGAAAGTGTTTACTGAAGGCACAGAAAAGGGGAACTGAGGGCTGGAGTCACTCCCTCTTGTCCATTAAGAAAAAAAGTGCAGTTTTCAGTGGCTATGTCCACCTTACAGTTGAGAGCAGCTATTACCACTCAACACACAACTTACAGAAAACCAAAAGCCGTCCATTGCTTTGATTTGAATTTACAGTTTAATATGATTATTTTCATACAGAGATGCCAGTTTCTTACTTCAATACAATGCAATTAGTTTCAATTTGATGTGATAACAAACAGAAGGGATTTTATTAGTGTATGGATGGTGTGTGGAGCATTCTCACCTTGCGGTTTGAGTAACAGGGGCAGCGTTGCCCCCTACAGGTCAACACTGAGGGGTTCTGGGTAGCCCGGCCGCACTTGCAGCCCTTCTTCTCCACAGGCTTCTTGTACAGTGGCTTCGAGGGGCTGGGTGGGTGTGTGAGGGGGTGAGCGTGAGGGTGAGGGGGTACTCTGTCACGGGGCTGCGTGCGGGGTTTGGGGGCCCCTTGCCTGGCCTTGGTGTACGACTTCTTGGCGGCACCATGGTGCTCCACAGTCTTTTTCAGAGCCTTGTTGGGGACAAGTACAGTCTTACCCACCTTTGGGGTGCTGCCATTAGGTACCGGGGCTAGGTGGGGGTGAGGCGTTGCTGCAGGGAACTTAGGTTCCTGTTTGGTGGTGGCACCAGGGTTGGGGTGGTGGGGGGAACTGTTGGCACCAATGGGGGGCCCTCGTAGGAGGCTGGAAATAGGGAGGGGCTGCACCTTCTCGCTGTCGCTTTCTGAGCGGGAGCGTTTGCGGTGGCAGCGAAGCGGTATACGGGGGGTGACTGCAGAGGGCTGAGGAGGGGGCTGCAGTGAGGGCTGCGGGTGTGGTTGGAGGCGACGGGAGCTGTTCTCTGAAGGGAGGGAGGCGATGAGGCGGGATGAGTCTTGGCCTGATGGGCAGTGAGGCCCGTTTCGGCTAGACTGAGGTACAGAGGGGTGGCAGCCTGGCTGAGAGTTGGGCTCAGGTGAAGGGTCAGGGTCAGACTCCGTCTCTAAAGTTCTGAGCACCTCCTCTACACTCAACAGTAGTGGCCCCCCGCCGTGTTTCAGGTCATCCCCGAAAGCGCCGATGTCACAAAGTCCCGTCTCTGAAGTGCCTGTAACACTCATGCACACTGGGATCTCCTCTGAGAAGCTCTCCTGCTTCGTGGTGATGGGGTGCAGTCTGTCTGAGCTGACCAGGCCGTTACAGTCATGCAGTCCGTTAAAGCCCACGGGGCTCGGTTCTTCCACCTTGAGCTCCTTTGTTGCTGGACCGCCATCGGGCTGACCCACCTCAGAGGTCGACACCGTCTGTGACAAACGAACAGAGTCTGAGACATCCTCCGCTTCTGGCTCACTCTCCGCCAATGTCAGGCCCTCATTGAGGATAGCCTGCAGGTCAGGTGAGTCACTGGCAGCGCTGGCTATGTGTGGTGCAAGTGGCGACTGTGTGATGTAGAGACAGAGCTTCCTGTAACAGTGGACGAGCAAAGAGAGCTGCCGGTTTTCCTCGAAGCGGGAATAGTCCTTGCACCAGCTGCAGGACGGCTTCAGCTGCATTCTCTGACCCTTACAGCCTCGACAGACGTAATGCTGACATGACGAGTTGGTGGGAGCGATGGGGTCCTGCAGCAGGTTGCCTGAGCATGAGAGGACAGGGAGGAAAGGTAAAAGAAACATGAATGAAATTGCAGATATCACAGGAACAGGCAGAACAGCCCACATAGATGATTAAGTGGCCATTGCAGGATCCAGAAAAGACAGCATGAATTTTTATTTCTGGTGTAAAATAGGCCTTTGGGGTGTGAATGGGCGAGTAATGATGTCCATGGGGGGGTGTCACTCCACCTCTCAGCTTTGGACACTGGTGGGGCACTAGAAGAAAATGACTGATGGGTTCTCTTCCTTTTATACCGCTGTGCAAACACTAAAAAAACGAATACACTAAATTTGCTAATAGATTTCAAGCAAATTTATGCCTATTTGCACACTTCTGCAAATAACAATAAATACAATAATCAGTATTTATCATAACAAGTTCAAAGTGAGGTTGCAGTTTTTTTGTGTGTTTTTTTAAAATAAATGACACAGCATGTGGTCTGCATATATTTAAGGTAATGAGTCTGCATTACCCTAGTTAATGTTTACGGTCCTTTGATAAAGGTTAAAAGTGTATATTTTCCTTTGGGGATAGCAAAAATGTTTTATATGCATGTAAAATCATGAACATAGCAACACGCCTGGTAATAAAATCCTTAACAAGCCAGCAATCATCATTAACATGAGATAAATTATGGCTTTATTTACAGACGATTGGTTCCTTTTTGCCACAGCTTCCTAAACTGACATGCATTTGTAAACCTGAGCTGTGCTTGGAGGTTTTCCAGAGTGAAAGACAGCCTCTCTTTCAGGGGAGCTTCCTGCTAGAGAGTGCAGCTGCAAAAAGAGGGGGAAGGGATGAAGTTCCATTCACAAGAAACAAGCAGGCCTACACATACGCCTCTGCCTGTTTGACAAATCAAGCATAACTCTATATTTAAAAGTCATAAAGACTATTATAGCCATCCATCACAGAGGACATGGAAGTTTCTCAGTCTTCTTGCAATCACAGCACCATAAATATCACCTTTACGTAAATAAATGCATAAATAATTCATCAGACCATCCATTTACTGAGAACCTGCAAAAACAGCAGCCACAGCTTCCTCTCTATATTGGAAATGGTATATACACTCACTCTGGCCGAAGGGAAATGCAATGCATTTTGTATTGGCGGTGAAAACCCTGTATTAAATATACATTAAAAGGTTGACTTTAATATCCAGCCAAAGAAATGCTCCCTATACTTTTATTAAAGTTCGTTTTAGTTCAGTGAAGTAAACACTATAAGGAGCCGTCTCCTTAAACGACTCCCTTTGCTTTCCTTTCCTAGATAGAGTTGAACATTTCTGTATCTGAGGAGGAGGAGGGTGAGAAAGCAGATTAGGTGCTCAGCATCCAGCATGTGAAGGGGCTGTTATTCAACAGGATGAACCAGAGAAACGCCCAGATGCTGCCAAACAGCACCCAGAAGGGGGTGTGTCAGGATGGGTGTAGCTGTGACTTAAGATGCGTTCATGACACCTCGGAATTTACCATATAAACAACCTTTTGGAGAATACAGCAGTTTAACAATGCAGCTTGATTAAAAAAAAAAATACAAATTTAAAACAGAACCTGTTAGTTATAAAAATAACTAAATGCATAAACAAAAACAAATTATTTAGTCAGTATTGAGGTCACACTCATTCAAAGTTAAAAAGAAAAGGGGGGGAGGTGTCTTTAATTCAAAGGATTTCCTTTAAATGTAAGCAACAGCAAATAAATAGCTAAATGTGAACTAAAATATATCTATAAAATGTTCTTAATGTGTTCATATGGAAAGAAGCATTTAATTTTAACTTAATTTTTTAAGCACTCGCTCTGGGGAGGGGGATTCTGGATTTACTAAACTTACTTAAAAATAAAAACATGTTTGTCTTTTAAGTTAAGCAGATTTCCTAAAACTACGCCCCAGCAAAAAAAATCCAAACAGTAGTTGCCAAATACGTCAGACATAATACTGGCTATAGTTTGATTACCTGGTTTTCATGATCCACAGGAGCCAAAATCGTAAATGCAATTAAATGTGGTTCATTGCCCAGCTCTAAATTTAAGTAAAGTACAAGCACTTCAAGACATATTCAAGTACAACACTTCATATGCGCAACAGCTCAGTTTCCACCATGCTGCTGACTTCTTTGTACTCAGACATTTCCGTCAGTGCTTGAACGCAGCACCATTTAAAGGCTCACTCCCACTGTTAAGACAGCTGACAACGTTACCTATAAAACATCCTCTCAATAATAAACACACACATATACACTGGCTTGCTGTTAAATTAAACTATAATATAAACTCACACTTACCGCAGACCAAGCAGGAGAGGGACTGGCGGAAAAACGGCAGGAGCTTGCAGAGCTCCGCAAGAGCCCGGGGGTCTCGGGGGTCGCACTGCAGCACCGACCGGCTCGCAGACACGAAGAGAGAGGTCGCATTCACCGGGTTCATCTCAGCTGTCTGGGCCCGGCGCTCCAGATGTATTAATACGTTAATAAAAACACACCAAAGTCACACAAGAGGATAAACAAACTACCCGCAGCTCCCGCTTCCCGTGAGATAAAATTACTGTTTTTATCAAGGGAGTCCGGTGGGGGCTTTGAAGGGGGCATATAGGTGGATGTCACGGCTTCAGTTCCCGGTTGCTAGATAAATCCCACATGAAGAGTGAAGATCCAGGTTTAGTCATCCCCAGTCACATCCAATCCATCTTCAATGCGCTGTCTTAGCTTTGAAATCACCGCAGCCTCCGATCGGAGATTTGTTTGCATTAAAATGCAGCTTCATGCGCACCGTTTCGGTTCGTTTCCTTCCCATACGTAATTTAAATTAAGACAAAGCATCGTGAGGCACTCCTTCCGTCGCCAGTGGCCTTTTTAACGCTTCTCACAGACACAGCTGGCTAGCTAACTAGCTAGCAGCTCCGAGATTCAAGCAGGCTACTCTGTGACAAAGTGGCCCGGTTTGCAATCGTACTCCCATGATATCCCCATAGTCCACATGCATGCCTGTCCCGAGTTGAGCTGGTGTCACACAGAGCATCAATTACCCCACACCGGGGCGTCAGTGGCTCCTATTTCCTCACTCGGTGCAGCCCCAGCAGGCTCGTTATGGTTGTGTTATTGTTCGCAGAGATTCACGGCGGCTCGAAAACAAAACAGGCCGCCTCGGCTTCGAAAGCTCCTCCTCGGAGAGAAACGCCGACACCCGCTCCTAGACAGGGGAGCTAGCGTGCGGACGAGCAGATGGTGGCGTCCGAAACAAAAATAATATCGAAGCCGCCGCGGTTCTATCCGTGTGGAGCCGAACAAGCCAGCGGAAGCACCGGGCTCTGGTGACAGTGCTAGCCGTCAGAGCTGCGCCGGGAAGCCGGCTAAAAAAGCAAGGCCGCTCCCCTCTTCGCGGGATTATCGGGAGTCTTTCGTTCTCGTTTCCCTCCTTGGTGGGAATGTGGTGGGAAAAGGGGAGTTTATCAATCCTTCTGGAGCTTTCTTTAGACCTCCCGAATATCAAAGGAGAGAAAAATGATTAATTTCCCTGTTTGTGTACCTTGCTATCGTTAGCCACTGAGTAGTCCTCACACATCCCATCGCGTTTCCTACACATAAACAAGGGGGCGCTGTTTCTCACATCTCGCGAGAACTTGGATAAGGCGGTTCAATTAAAAAAAAGGAAGAGCGGTAGATCTAACATATTGAGATGATTTATTTCACTTTTTAAACATAATAAACGAAAGTTAACCTTCTAGATAGATAGATATTTTATTTTTCAAAGACCACCTTGTTGAAAAAAGCATAACCTATTCTTGGTTTTGATTTAGGAATAGTGACTGATATTTCTGATATTCACATGACGTTTTCATTTCTTCTTTATATCTAAGAAGGCAGTAAGAAAGTCATTAGATTACATTCATTTTTTCTAAACATGACGATGGCAGTGAAAGTGCCCACTTTAAGACTTCACAACTAGACTTAAAATCCAGTGGGCAGCTTTCATCTTCTGTACTCTTTTTGGTACAGTTGGTATGCTGGTATAATGTATGTCACATGTGGAAAAAATGTGCCATTAAAAGACAAAAATCTGAAAGACTATCCTTCCATTGTAAGTGTAAGGCACAGTTTCACAACTGCTGTTAGTGCAGTGACTTCCTATTGAGAAATACTATTACACTTAGTTACATTCAACTGATGACTTCTTCAGTTTCACACTGGGGTCAAACTCTAAATGGACTGGTGACCTGCCCAACGTCTATGCCCTATTATAACTGGGTAGGCTAGTTTAAAAGATGAATAGATTATATTTTTCTACACACACACACAAAAGGAATTTAGCCTAAAATGACTATTTCTATATTATTTTTTAAAATGACATACTATGCTCATTTGAAGCTCCATATTAAATTCTCTATATCTATATCATTGCAATTTATTGCAATTTTGACTTTTAATTTTACTTTGGTATCCACAGTGGTAGCTACGTCACACTTTATTCCTTTGTATTTCCGTGCGTGGTGAGAACTCGGTGCAGTTCAGAGATAAAACCACGGTGTGGTGGTGTTTGAGAACCAGAAGGTTGACCAAAGAAGGGGGAACACGGAAAGAGAGGATATAAATACATACTCACGGAAAAGTCAAACTAGTCTTAAAAAAATGGCAGCCTGTCTGATTGAAACAAGCTGATATCTATCAATGAACTATCCCAGAAATTACCTTCTGTTTCCTCTCTCTTTTTTTTTTCTTTGTCTGCAAGGCTGCTGACCACCAGGGACTTTCCGTTTTGTCTTGTTGAGTTATGCGGAAGATGCATTTTCAACAGCATGCTACCTTACCATCCAGTCACAGCACAAACAGTTGGTCAGCTTTGATAACTGATGGAATTAAAAAAATTTAATTATCAAATAAGTGTTCAGCTTTTTAAATGTAATCACTTTCTGCTCTTTTTCGTTAAGCCTAATAGTGAGCTAAAAATCTTCATTCATTTGACAGCTGGTTAGACAAAACAAAACATTTGAAATCTTAAATAATTAATAATTGGATAATTAATCATGTAATAAAAAAGAATCAACGAATCAGTGATGAAAACCATTGCTGTAGCCGGTCTGTAAGTTTCAAAGTTCTAGTATTCCCGTTTTAAACTGACAAAAAGTGTGAATTTCCGTTTCACTAAGAAGGCCAAACTTAGCATATAGTTTACTGACATGCTCTGACACACTTTTCACGTATGAATAGATCTAAACACAAAGCTGCCAACCAGCCATCAAACGACTTTATTTTCCTTTATAAGGTCAGCCAGCATAAGACATTCTGCTCATAGCTGTATATTGCCTTTGACTACACTTGACAGTGTTGACTGTGAATATGGCTGCATACTCAACCCTGCTCAGAATCCATGACATCTAGGCCTCAGTAGGGCCTCAGAACACAGCTAGAGCCAGGGTAGACCCAGATGTGTCTGTTTTTTGTTGTTTTTTAATTTGTAAGTCTTGATTTTGACATAGTTAGTGAAGTTTACTCTGTGCAGTAGAACAACACGTCGTAGTTGCACATAAAAGATTTCAAAGCCACAATACCTGAAGCTTTTTCAGTCAAAGTCTCATCTTATAGAAACCTTTTAGTTTGTACATACACGGGGTAAAAGGTAAAAGCAGTGTATTGCATAGTGCTTTTCTGCTCAGTCTGAGCACTCAGAGCATGTTATTTACTACACTTTTTGAATTTGTTCAACTTGTGTGGGTTTTATTGAGCAATATAAAGTTCAATAAAAGGTGAAGTTTTAACAGCTGTTCAATGACTTTGCCTGGCTACACAATACATACTCAAACTGCTGTTCCTGCAGTTTCTCAGGCAGAAACCTGTTAAATGTTCCCAGCTCATTCTAAAAGACAAAAGGCGACTGAGCGTTTGCTGTTAGTGCTCCTCGGTTGTGGAATGACCTCATCGGTGTCTTCTTTTTTAGTCACTGCTAAAGACTTGTTTATGTCATAAGGGTTTTTTGAAAATCTATTTTTTATTTTTGACATTGTTAGGGAAAATATTCTAAAACACTTCTTCAGTAAGGACTCAGAGAAGAGAAAGACACAGAATTCTTGCTAGCAAGGGCAGCTCCCTACTGAGAGACTCGCACTAAGAAACTGCCCCAGTCTTTATTTATACTTCTGTGTGTGTGTGTGTCCTGCTGATCAAAGGGTCATGAAAGCACAAAAGGTACATCCTTGGTCAGGAAGAGGGTAATCTCCCCCTCACCCTAGATGGTTCACCCTAGATAACACAGTGAAGAAGTCCAGCAGTTCATCTAGACAAAAAGGCACTTAGACTAAAACAGACATAGCTATGTTAAAACAATAAAACAAGGTACGAACTCTCATGCTCCCAGGACGTGGGGGTGCATTCCTGGAGTGCACACCAAGCCTGCAGCCTGTTAGAGATCACACACAATTGATTATATGCCTCTAAGTATACATGGTTGAATATTTCCTAATACAAATAACTACATGCAGTATTCTACCATATGCAAACTTATATCACTAAAAGATTATACTGACTACTAAATACAATTTTCCATTGACAGACATTCTCAACCAAAGTCCATCTTATTCTTTTAATGTACTGTTTTAAAATGTAGTTAAGTTATTAATCACAGTGGAGTCAAAGCGTGGTTTTGTTCTTTGTCTTATTTTGACCTTACACCTGTGTCTTGCGTGTCCTATCTTTACCCGTATGTAAACTGTTCTAGTTTGTTCTTTTCTTCTCCGTTTCTGGGAAGCACTTTGTACTGCTGTTTCTTTTAATTGTTATATAAATACATTTTGCTATTAGTGTTCAGAAGTGCAAATATATACAAAAGCCTGCTGCTGATAAAGACCATGAGATGTGGAAAAAGCGTGAAAATTAAAGCTATACCTGACACAAGTATAGTTTGAATGTTTCTGATATACACGTGCATTCCATGTGCAAGAGTAATTCCTCTTTTAAGGTTAAACAGTGTCTCATGGAACCATGACTGTTTCCTTTTTTCGTTTATTATGGCAACCGTGGGCGCCACAAATAGCTGGTTAGTCAGTCTCTGAGGGCTATTCTTAGCACGTCTCTGATCATGCCCATGAGTTTGGGTGATTCCCCTGCTGTTTCTCACATGTGGCACCAAGAATAGTTTGTCTATGCTGAAATAATTAATCGAGCATTCATTAAGATAATTTGTGTTGTATTGTTGTATTATTTAAGTCTTTCTGTTTTAACATCACAAACCTGTGCAGCAGCTTTTATGAGTCCACATTCTGTCTACTTGTACAGTTCATAATATCAGCACATGCCTTACAGTGACCACTTGCATGTACTCAGTTTCAGTTCCTTCAGCTTCAAGTGGAGGATCGTCACTGGTGACTGGGCCGTAACCACAG